GGTCAAGAGGTGTAAAAGAAGGGGGAACATTCCCTCTTTAACTTAAGGTATAGGGAGGAAATGCAGAATTGCAGCACAAATTTAAACGGCTCGACCTAGGCTCGTGATAGTCGGTGTATATTGGAGGGCACAGGTCAAAGGTCAATAGGGCACAGGGCAGATTTTAGACATTTTCTGAGGACATGGTCTGACGGACCTAGCATTTTTATGGCTTTATTGAAAGGACCATGAAATGTACTTTCTGCTGACATGCGAAGAGTAAGCGTCGGATAAACTTTTGACCCTCAAGAGGAGGGTTAAACATGGATTTGTTTACTGTTAGAAAGAATTTGACTGCCGAGTTTGCTAGTAGAATCTATACATGCCTGGATGTATGAGGATACAATGTGACAGTGAAATTTCAAAAGCTAAATTTGGTTGAAGACGGTTTATGCTCCTTAAATCGTATAATTTCTATGGCATTCTGTACTGTCAGTGTGTTACATGTAACGGATGCCACTGCCAGTGCATGTGGTGATGATAGTACTGTGTAGTTTTTGCCTGCGTTAATTAGTTACAGGTAGCAGCTCTCTATTTCAGCCTGTAGGCTTGCGTAGGTAAATGGATGAGTGCTTACCTATTCTGTTTTGCAAATAGTTGTTGCTACTACGTACGATGGGAGCTTCCATCTTTAATCTTTAGACACTTAAACGTACGCGCCATCTCGTGGCAACTTTCATAACGATCCCAACGAACATTTCTTTGAGAAGGTTCCTGATACCATCCCTGTGCCTTCCACTGTTTCGGCGTGTATGTGAACACATTTGGGACTAACAGGGTTTACTAGAATCCCACCACTCCACCACAGAGTCACCGCAGTAGACGTTAGATGAGCGCTGTCGCTCCGCGGCACTTGTTCACACCAAACGTATAAATTAAACACTGCTTTATTTATAGATCGCTAAAAAAGCAGGTCAACATCTCACCGGAGGTATTTTATTTTACACTAACGCAATAGAGTGTATACTAAAGTAGGCCACAGTTGTTAAAAAAACTTCCGCGCCTTTGAGAATGGGACATATTGAATTTTACTGGCGTCGTTGGCCCTTTGATCGCCGTCTTTGAATATACAACTACGCGTCATGAATACGAATGAATTGCGTACTTAATTCCAGTCTTGTAGTCGAATGGTACGCAAAGGATTATACGAGTTATAGATGGCGATGATGACGATAATGACAACGATGACGACAGCATCGCAGTTGTCAACTTGCTCATTTTGAAAGAGGTTAACATCATAAACATTACTTTATACTGTCGGTTCAACAGTCTGTGCTATTTAATAAACTGTTTTATAATGAGGCTGTTTAAAACTACTTTGAAATCTATAACAGATGTGCATTGACAGTTGTCTATACGTCTGTGCTTATAATGCGTTGGAATAATTGTTTTGCGGTGAGGGTTTCGTGTCAAAATTTTATTATTTTAACATTATGTACGCACATATGGCTGATTAGAGGCACATTATGTATTGCTGATAGAGCTCACACCAATGACACATTAGCGCTTATATGCTGCGTCTAATTTCGAAATACTTTATTAGTGCTAAAATGAGTTTTGTGCTGAAATCGGTAAATTACATATTGACGTTTGAAGCAATCAGATTTAAATACACCAGGTAACTAATAGCCATGTAAAAAAATAACATTGGTTCTGTCGATTTACTGAAATAGGAAACAGCGAACCCGTATAACGACTATTTTTGCCTCGAGCGTTTGTGCACATCATGTTAGTTGCTTGCATCCCTCATAAGTGCGATGTAAAGTGTCCGGTTACTGATTGATTGAGTTACGCTTTGCGTAATTACATCATGCTGACATGCAGTCGAGACTCAACTATATACGATAAAATCTGATAGAATTCATGATTGAATGGTGAGAGGTATAGGATGATAAAGCTAATGCAAAATTATGCAGACGTGGTAAATGTTTAGGCCTAGCGAAACCGATAATACGATGAAAAAACTGCGCGTGTGCGTGAGCGTGCGTGCGTGCGTGTATGGCAGGCGAGAAGGGACATAAATGATATTTAATGACCGTCACTAATTCTATTTTATGACCATCATTAAATCGATTTATGTACCGTCATTAAATCAACCAATCAGATGCAACTTATTTGTGCTCAGCCAATCACAAACATGGAATTATGTACCGTCATTAAATCGATTTATGTACCGTCATTAAATCAACCAATCAGATGCAACTTATTTGTGCTCAGCCAATCACAAACATGGAATTACTGCTACAATAATTCGTATTTAATGACGGTCATCAAATCAATTTTATGACCGTCACTAAATACCCAGGCGAGAAGGGACATAAATACTTCCGTACACAAATCAACCAATCACAGCCTACGATACAAAAATCCGCCAGGGCGGCGCCAGCTATCTTCCGTACATAATTCCCCGCCCGGCCATCATCGTTACTCACTTGCCTACGTTTTGAAATAAGCCAGATCGGAAAGTCCCGCCGCCATATTGAGGTCAAAGACAAAGTGCAAGGGGCATAACATTGCCTCGGCGCGCCATTGAGAAGTACGCGAAAAATGTCAACGGTCGTGCGTTTTTACTTTCTGCATTAACACAAACATTGCACAATATCCCAAATTAGCACAATCATATTTATAAATGTTTCTATAAACAGAAAGGCGCCTGTGAATTGGAGTACGATGTTATTGAAAAGAAATATAGATGAAAAACCTAGACGTTCCGAGGCAGCTGTTATCTTTGTATTAGACTGGTCCGCGCTCGACAGTTTCACTCGCATTACACTGACGTCGCGTGGAACTGTCGAGCGAGGACCCGTCTAATACAAAGATAACAGCTGCCTCGGAACGTCTAGGTTTTTCATCTATATTTCTTTTCAATAACATCGTACTTCAATTCACAGGTGCCTTCCTGTTTATAGAAACATTTATAAATATGATTGTGCTAATTTGGGATATTGTGCTTTGTCTTTGACCTTAATATGGCGGCGGGACTTTCCGATCTGGCTTATTTCAAAACGTAGGCAAGTTAGTAGCGATGATGGCGCGGTACGGAAGATAGCTGGCGCCGCCCTGGCGGATCTTTGTATCGTAGGCTGTGATTGGTTGATTTATGTACGGAAGTATTTATGTCCCTTCTCACCTGGGTATTTAGTGACGGTCATAAAATCGATTTAATGACCGTCATTAAATACGAATTATTGTAGCAGTAATTCCATGTTTGTGATTGGCTGAGCACAAATAAGTTGCATCTGATTGGTTGATTTAATGACGGTACATAAATCGATTTAATGACGGTACATAATTCCATGTTTGTGATTGGCTGAGCACAAATAAGTTGCATCTGATTGGTTGATTTAATGACGGTACATAAATCGATTTAATGATGGTCATAAAATAGAATTAGTGACGGTCATTAAATATCATTTATGTCCCTTCTCGCCTGCCATATGCGTGCGTGCGTACATGCGTGCGTGCGTGCTCACATGGATGTGCGTGCCGAGTGAATATGCGTACGCATTTGTGTAATTGTGATTGTATATAGCCGCTAGCTATTTAGATCAGCTATTTGAATGCAGATATACATCACACCAGGGGTTAATAATGACAAATACATATTACCTGAGTACACATACATATGAGATACCCGCGCTGTACAGTTAGCAGTGCATCCTAATAAGGACTGTTAGGATTACTATTTAGCCCTATACGTCATATCCTCTTTCGTTTGTCAGAAAAATATGAAATAAAATACGGATACGACAAAGTTTCAATCACTGCGTGCAGTTTCAAGGGTACGCCCAACTAATGAACTGCTAGGAATTTTCAGGGGATGTAATATTACTTTCGTACTGTTCCTCCCGCGGGGTTCTGAATTTGATGATTTTACGTGACACATTTTATATGACAACATTTATAACGCTCATTATCAATTAACATTGGACTATTACAAGTTCAATGATGACTTACACGATAGGGAAGCTCTCTGTAGATTTTTTTAGCTCTTATGCTGTGACATATCGTTGACAGCCGGAGACTGAGAGATCCGAATAACTATGTAATATAATTTTACATGGATCATTGTATATGCTGCATAGATTATGTCATTTATAAATACATTATATTTTTATATAATTGTTGTGTAATTCCTGCGACACTGCCGGTTGTCAAGCTGTGGCAGAATGTCACTATGGAATGCACAATAAGGAAATAAGGGGAATATGGGAATATTCGGGGAAATATGGGAATAAAACATGTAACTTCGTGGCTAGCAGTGCGAAACACTGTTCAATATTTCACGGTGAGTATGATTTGTAAATTCGTCTTCTAGTAGGCGTAAATCATTGATGGTGTAAGTATGCGCGTTTTGCGCTGTTTGTATCCAGTCGTTTTGTGTTGCAGACTCGTGCACGATGTCGAAGCAGAAGCAGCGGGAGATTTTATTCCATCAGTCGGAGCTCTGCAGAGAGATGGCAAACAACACTACGGCACCTGTCGGTGAGAAATGAAGCCTTTGCATACACGCGCACGCGCACACGTACACAACCAAGCACACACATACACACACGCAGCGGCACACATACACAACCAAGCACACACACATACTCACACGCACACACGCATAACCAAGCACATACACATACACTCACGCGCGCGCGCGCGCACACACACACACACACACACACACACACACACACACACACACACACACACACACACACACACGCGCGCGCGCGCGCGCAAACACGCACTCTCTTTTTCACACACACATACTTACAAGAACACACACGCGCGCGCATGCGTGGTTTAGTTGCTTGTATCGATTATTTTGATGCATAAACAACACAGGGCGGGCGTGCGGTGTACTTGTGTGTAGCAGATGAGCATTTGACCGGCATTTACAGGTGATTATAGGCGAAATAGAGTAGAGAAACATTAAGACTTTGGTAGTAGATTCATTTCGTGTTTATTTACCTCTTTTTTTATTGAGACGTTTCAAGTGCCTGTGGCTGTCAGGGTGCCTTTGAAGCATGTTCGTTTACCTAGTCGTCGTCGTGAACGTGCGTGTCACACTCACAGATTAAAGTAAACGAATGAGTCCGGAATACATGGCCAACATCCGTCAGCTGTGCATCGAGCTGCGGTCCCCAGATAAAAAAAAATATCTGATCGTGAAGCGCCGACTGCCCGCAATCAGCGCTTCGCTCATGCCTCCTCCTCCGGCATCCTTCGTTTATCGACCATTTGCTGACGTCACGATAGTCCTCGTGTGTAGTACGCTTCGCGCGCAACAATATGTCCGGAATTTATCGAATGCTGACCGAAACATCGACGGGGCGAACCTTGCGTATTCGGCGCGTATGTAAACGATATGTACGTAAGATTAGTTATGGAAGAGTTAAATCATATATGACGGTTCGTCCACTCAATGATAAATGACAGTTATTCGCGTATAGGGGTATCGACTCCTCTTCTTATAGTCATGCATGTAGCGATGGATGCCGAATCTGAGATAATGACTATTTAATAGTATGGCTTTGTAGTAGCGTGTATAGCGTATTTTAACGCTTCCGGGAACGTAACGACCGGATATAAATAACCATTTATCAATCATGTTTCTGCGCTTTTAAATCCGATAGAAGGACTATAGTGAATGATCGTTTATTAATGCATTGTTTCGCAGTATGTGCTCAATAGTCATGAACGCTGCTACAGCGTTCACGTTGCACGTCGGCAAGTTTGTCCAAGCTTTGATCCTAATATAATTTCGGAAGTGAATAAAACCAAACTTTGTTTGTATTGACCCCTGATAATACATGTGGTAATTTCATGTGGATGCGAGTTCCATCCAGTTGTACAATCACTGCCGGCCGTAGGGAAAAGCGAGCAAAGTTGCCGCGTGGGTCCTGGCGCAAAAGAGAAACAGTATGAAAGACGTTTTTATTACATCTTGTTAAATTATCATTTAACAGAGTTATAATTAATTATAATAATCAGGTTTTTATCAAAACTGGAATTGATCTAATTTGGCTTCATTTAAATGTTCCTTCTAACCAAAATGGCACAGCCTATAGTGACATATTAATTCACGCCAAGACGGAGCTCACACCGTAAGATGTGGTTCGCGCTTCCGCATTTGCTAAGTTCGCCTGTTCGACACATACGTTGGGAAACCTGTTTCACGCCATATGAACATTGCACGCCCCGTGTGCACATGTTGTACGTTTATTAGTGTATTATTGTTATGTGTATTGTATTTTATTTGTATACGTATGTGTATATGTATTGTATTGTTATTTATATGCGTATTAGTGGACCAACGGAGGCGGTGAACTATTAACACTCAAAATGGTTTCTTTTCATCTCGTGAAGAGCTACACTGCCCGCTGGTGTTCGATAGTCTAGTATGCTGGAACTACACGCAGGCGGGGACAACGGCGATCGTACCTTGCCCAGCCTACGTCGTCGGATTTGACAGTTCAGGTAAGTTAGCGGTTGACAAGTTGGATTACTTCCCCTGGTGACAATCACGAACGTAGTGTTTGGGTATCAGATCTATTGGTAATCCTCCACTCTGTCTGATATTTGCAAATCGGATGCATGTCAACTCGAACAGAATAGCAGCCGGAGATGTATTCGTTCATCGATTTCTCTGTCGGTCCATTGAGAACGATACAGACAGACGCACAGGTGCACAGCTTAGATATTAGGCAAACAAATAATTTACCACTGAGCCCTCTGTCCTGATTTGACCCACGAGGATCATAAGATTTCGGTAATGCTATGCGTCGTGTGCATTTGCCCAGGTAAAGCTAGCTACCAACATGACGTGACACTGCGCACTATGTGCAGAGTATGCAACGGAGTAATTATTACGTAAGACGGTAATTACTACATAATACGTTTGCGCATTATGTGCAGAGTAATTAGTTACCGGGCAGGTAATTTGCTATTATTTTATTCTTTTTTTTTTTCTATTTTATTTATATTTTATCAATTAAGTGTTAAGAGTGTGCAAACGGTTTAATCCACAGTGAAGGATGACAAATGACAAATGGTAGCGCTGATAATGATAACACAAATGATAATCTTCGCGAAGAACTGTTAACAAATGGGGAAGATGTGTTAACAAACTAGTGTCTGCGAATTGACGATTAAATAAACCGACACTACTGGAAACCGGCACTAGTGTTTTGACCAAGGAATTTATGTAGTTTCGTTATCTTTCATTGCAAATGTATTCCGTATACTATAATATCAGGAGTGAATAATATATATATATATATATATGCACACACACACACACACGCACGCAGTCAACACACACCAGCACAGCACACAGCACACACACACCCAACACACAGCACACAGCACCCAACAACAGCACAACACACACCGCACACAGCACACAGCACAGCACACACAGCACACAACACACACACACACAATGGTCTCCCTTCTCCTCTTCTTCTTCTATGACTGATTGGCTGGGCAGTTAATGCCGTTATGAAGTTGAAGAAATGACACAAACAGTTACGTTAAAACATACTAGTTACTTAAACAGGCACGATTTCACGGATTATCTCAAACTAATGTTAAATCCACTGACAGCATAATGTCATTTACTGTTTTTAGGTTTTGCTACGCGAACGTGTGAGGAGGACGGCACATGGTATTTTAACACGAATCATAATAAAACGTGGAGTAACTATACGGACTGCATGGCCAAATTCAACATTGAGGATTCAAAAGAAGTTCGTCTTATATTGGTATGCGTAATGGCGTGCTTGAAAAGAGATCTGACTTATGCAGTATAATTTTATGTTATATTATATTATATACTATATATTTGAGATAATAAATGTTATTGGGACTAACCACTGTACAACGGAATGGGGAATGAGGAGGGAAACATAGTTTGTATGCGATGATTTTAGTTGGCAAACATGGCGCTATGTTCATACTTGTTTTGACGGTAGCCTACTATTCGTTTTCTTTCTTTGACGTAGCCATATATGCCTAAGTTAAAGCTGATGGAGTGTATTGGTTATGGTATATCGCTTGCAACCCTCTCGATAGCGGTCATCATTCTACTCGCATTCAAGTAAGATATATAATTCGTTTTTCATCTAATATTACCGCATTGCTATGACTAAATAATTAGCATAATACCAAGCCGATAATTTATTTCATGTGCGATTCGCTTGGCATGTCGTAGTTAATAGCGTTCTATAATTACAAATGGTTTCGATTTCCTTGATATTCTCATATATTAGTAGTCAATTATCAAGAATTTGATACTCTGTCACTACATGTATTGGCATGGCAGCAGATTTTCTCATACCAGTGGTAGAAATGCCATCCACAAATAGTGGTATCGTTTTCACACGCATAAATTTAATATAATGATATGAAATTGAGTATAATTATCGCACTAATTACGGACTGCATTTATCGCGGAGACTCCTATGTTAAAATGCAGTGCGTTGGGCGATTTAGACCCGCGCTGTCAGCGAGCTATTTGATTGGTTGATTTTTTGCTCTTGACTTTTTGTCAAATTTTTCTTAGAATAACCCGGTTTGCTTGGTTGTTCTGCAGTAGTGCTGTTCTGCGAAGTGTGAAGTAACCTGATCCACATACCTATCTCCCACGGGGTTCTTACAATCTATCTCTTACATATATTAAGTAGAAGATGTGCACGTAAGAATGTGCACTTTGCTAGCGTACGTGGCACGACATACTCTTTCACCAACATGCTCTGATGCAGATCAGTTTGTCAAAATCTTTTCAGTTTTTCCTTAGAGCTGTGGTGTTTATGCGCACTGCCAATTTTGGCATGCTGCGCCACCTACTGGTTATATGGGTTCTTTGTCATTATATACATCGTACGCGGGAAACAAATGAGTGCATGTTCAACAACAGTAATCACTAAATCTTATCACATATACGCTGCGTTTCCCCCTTCTTCTATCGGCTTCCATCCGCTACCCTCCTCTCCTCTTCTAGATTCTACACATACTCTATTTTCTTTCCTTCTCGGCATTCTTCTCTCGATCCTCTATTTTCTTCTCCACAATCTCTACCACCTTCTTCGCCTTCTTCCTTTCTCTACTTTCTATGTCCCCACCTTGTTGCTTTTATGTATTTATAGCAAAAGTCGGCTCTACTATGACAGTAATTTTAATGTTAAAAATTATTTTAATTAATTTCGCTAAATTCGTGATTTCGATGAGATCACTGAATAATTCGGGCCATATACTGCGATCATCGTGTCGTTATAAAGTCTTGGATAGCACACTGGCTGACGGATATATTTGAATGTGGGCGAATATATTACCAACATGTTGTTCAAAGTGCGGCAGTATACTGTATATAATTATATATACCAACATGTAACAAAAGCAATAGGTCATGCGGCCTTTAGTGGCACTATTATAAACGTATCAGAGAGCGACCTGTGGCAATATATATATATAATATTATATATATATGTATATGTGTGTGTGTGTGTGTGTGTGCGCGCGCGTGTGTGTGTCTGTCTGTCTGTCTGTGTGCGAGTGCGTGCGTGCGTGCGTGCGTGCGTGCGTGCGTGCGTGGTGCGTGTGTGTGTCTGGGTGTCTGCCTGTGTGTGTGTGTGTGTGTGTGTGTGTGTGTGTGTGTGTGTGTGTGTGTGTGTGTGTGTGTGTGTGTGTCGTGTGTGTGTGTGTGTGTTGTGTGTGGTTTGTGTGTTGTGTTGGTCGTGTGTGTTGTGTCGTGTAGTGTGTG